TCAGGAGGGCCACCTGCCTCCAGACTGTGGTTGATCAAGGGGGCACTACTGTAGTATCAGAGGAAAATAACCCCAATGACCTGAAAAGACTACTAAAATATTACTATCTTTTCCAAATACATATTTGACTGAGGCCAGGTTTTCTTCATGTACTTCAACCAAAACAACAATTTAAAATAGATTGTAGAAGCAGTTGTGGAGATCTAGCTGTCTTCTATTAAAGAGATTTTTTAAAATGTAAAACAATGACACTCTTCATTAATTTTTCTTATACTGGAAAATAGAGCTATGTTTCACAAAGATATGTTATTTATATCAACCCATAATGGGTTTATTATTTTTTTATTAAGACTGTTTTTTAGAGTTTTTAGTTTGCAGCAAAATTTAGGGAAGGGTGCTGATATTTCCCGTATACCTGCTACTCCCACACATGCACAGCCTCCCGCATTATCAACAACCCCCCTGAGAGTGGGGGACATTTGTTACAATTAATGAACATACACTAACACATCATAACCACCCAAAGTCCGTAATTTACATCAGGGTTGACTCGGGGTGTTGTATATTCTGTGGGTTTAGACAAATGTACAATGACATGTATCCATTGTTATGGTATCATACAGAGTTATTTTCACTGCCCCAATATCACCATTGTTTAAAATGGATCAATAACTTTAAATTTTCCTCAGTTTTAATGCCTGATACAGTAAATATAATTGGATATAACCCATATAATCAAAAGTTTTTTAGAGTCCTCAATTATTTCTAGAAATGAAGGGAGTCCTGAGGCCCAGCAGGTTAAGTTCTATTGCAGGGCATGCTTGTCCATGAGCAGCAGGAGAAACATGTAAGGATGTTATGGCAGCATCACCACTAATAGCCAAATGCTGAAAACAACCCATTCAACATATGAATAAATCATTAATAAAATATGGGGTGTTCATACAATAGAATACTGTACATTTGTGAAAATTAATGATCTAAAACACATGTAGCAACAGATATTAATTTTGCTAATATAATGTTAAGTGAAAAAAAGAAAGGAAAAAGAGAAGAAATTGATTATAATTCCATTTATATGCAATTAAAAATAAGCAAAGCTAAAAACAAAATCTCAAGGGGCAGCTGGGTGGCTCAGACAGTTGAGTGACCAACTCTTGATTTTGGCTCAGGTCATGATCTTGCAGTTATGAGATCGAGCCCCATGTTGGGCTCTGTGATGATAGCATGGAGCTTACTTGGTATTCTCTCTCACTTTCTCTCTCTCTGTCCATCCCCCACTCATGCACTTTCTCTCCCTCTCACTCTCTCTCTCTCTCTCTCAATAAATAGATAAAAATCTAAAAAAAACAAAAAATTTCAAACCTAATAATCAGTTATATAAATTACCAAGACAAGCAATATGGTAAAGTTTGTGTTTGAAGGTAGAGCCACAAGAATGGGTTATGGAATAGTGCTCTCAGAGCTTCAAAGATAATGTTTCATTTTATCAACTGGGAGTAAATATATAGGTATCTATTATATGTTTATTCTTCATACCATACCCATGTTTTATAAAGATGTCATATCTTTCCACTTTTAATCAAAACAATAACAATATATAGGTGAATGAAACTCATAAAATTCTCAATCAATTTTGAAAATGAAGAGTAAGGTGGGAAGACTTTCCTTACTAAAAATACTATAACACCACCGAAATGAACAGTATAGAACATACATGAACAAACACAATCCAAAGGAAGAGAAGAAAGAGTTAAGATGGAGCCCTGTGTAGATACGGGATTGCACATCCCCACAGAATAGACCAGAACAAACCATCAATGCAAGGTTTAATGCATTAATGTCACAAGTAGGTAATAACAGAAGAAATAATGTTTATAATCTAGGACTTTCAGAAAACTACTTCTTAAAAAAATCAAAAAAGCATAAGGTAAAAAATGAATGGATTTAATAACATCAAAACTAAGGAATTTTAGGCAATAAAAGTTCATTGACAAATAGTGAGATGGAAGAAGATATTTACAGCATCCAAAACTGACCAAGGACTGGGGTGCCTTGATGGCTCAGTCAGTTAAATGTCCAACTCTTGGTTTCAGCTCAAGTCATGATCTCACAGTTTATATGTTTGAGCCCTGCATCCAGCCTGCATTGACAGTATGGGGCCTACTAGGAATTCTCTCTCCCTCTCTCTCTGTCCCTCCCCCACATGCACTCTCTCTCTCCCTCTCTCTCTCTCTCACTTTCTCTCTCTCTTTTTCTCTCTCTCTCTGTCTGTTTCAAAATAAATAAATAAACTTTAAAAAAACTGACAAAGGACTGGTATTGAAAATCTTCAAGGAACTCCCACAAATCCAAATATCAACAAGAAAAAGTCAGAGACCTCAAAGGAAAATGACCAATAACCACAGATAGTCAGTTCACAACGGAGGAGACCCAAAAGCACAGCAAGCACATGAAGAGATGCTCACGTTGATTAGTAATTAGAGAGAGCAAATTAAACACCAAGGCTCTGTCACTTAACATCTACCAGCTAGGCAAAAATCAGAAAGCTAGATAATGCCAGTAGTTTTCAAGGATGTGGAGATATAGGAGTCTTTGTACAATGCTGTTACAGTGTAGATGGGTGCAGCCATTCTGGGAACCATTTTGGAAGTGCTTACATTCAGCATTCAGATACTCTGTGGCCCAGAAACTCTGCTCCTGGGTATAGATGGCAGGGAAATTCTCAGAGGTACCCACCTGGGGCTGCATTGATTACAGTGTGAGGGTTAGAGCCAATCTAAAGGTTTATTTCTGGGGGAAGAATGGAATAAATATGGTGGATACACAGTGATGCACTCCACAGCAGTTAGAAGCAACAGATCAGAAGCACACAGACCAACAGAAAGAGATATTACAAATATACTGCTGAATTGAAAAAGGAGAGAAAAAAAAACCTCAATTCTGTTTATGTACATTAAAATACTTGTTCTATATGATATGTACTCCACAGTGAAACAAAACTAAAATGAAAAAATATATATCGAGGGCACCTGAGTGGTTCAGTCAGTTAAGCCTTTGCCTTAGGCTCAGTCATCATCTCACAGTTTGTGGGTTCAAGCCTCACGTCAGGCTCTGTGCTGACAGCTCAAAGCCTGGAGCCCACTTCGGACCCTGTGTCTCCCTCTCTCTCTCTCTCTCTCTCTGCCCCTCCCTTGCTTGCGCTCTGTCTCTGTCTTTTTATCTCAAAAATGAATAAATATTAAAAAAATTAAAAGAAAAAGGAAAAATATATATTGAGTATGTTAGAAAGACCTCAGACAGGGAAGGAGAATAAAAAGGAGCAGCATAGAACGAAGCATAGCACCAAGAAAGGGGCCCAATGAGAACATACGGTAAGATGCTCTGAAACGGGAAGAACGATGAACTGAATCCTCTCCACCTACAGTAAAAACAAACAAACAAAAACAATACAGAAGCAAGACTTTGGAAATCATAGCATGGCTTCCAGGGCCTCCCTCACTGCCTGGCCCAGAGGTCTTACCCCCAGTTAAAGGTTCAAGACAGAGGAGTTCCTAGGGCCACCACCTTCCATACTCTACCACTGCCCTATATTTCAGTGAAGAGATGCTTAAATTTCCATAGGGTCCGTGTGCATTCGGATGGGAGAAATAGTAGAGATCTGGCATATTAGTGCTCTCTAGAGAAACCGAACCCATAGGTGAGATAGATAGATAGAGAGATAGAGAGATAGAGAGATAGATAGGGCATGAGCCAATTCTGTGAAATTCCCTTTCCTTCTCTACATATAGATGAAAGACACATCTCTGTGTATGTATCACATATGATATATATAATTGATTATGATAATATGACATATATACACAGCATATTATGGTATATATGTATATGTGTGTATATATATATATTACATTATATATATATATGTATATATAATGTCTCTTTGTAGAGAGAGATTTCTCGAGTAAGATGTATTTCATCTATATAAAGAGAGAAAAAGAGATGCACTCAAGGAATTGGCTCATGCTACTGTTGGGGCTGGCAAGTCGGAACTCCACAGGGCAGGCCAGCAGGCTGGAGTTAGTGCTGCAGTCTTGAGGCATAATTTCTTCCTTCTTGGGGTAATCTCAGGCTTAAGGCATTTAAGGCCTTCCAACTAATGGCTTGAGGCCCATGTACATCATTGAGAATAATCTCCTTTACTTAAAGTCCTTTACTTTACTGATTAAAAATGTTAGCCACAGCTATGAAATATCATCACACCACCACTTAGGTGAGTGTGTAATTGAATAACCATGAACTATTGACCAGCCAATTTGGCACATGAAACCAACCATCACAGATGGTATACAGATCAAATGGGAATAGTCTTTGGCAACAGACTGATTATGGACAGTTGGCCGCCAAGGAATATCTACTCACAAATTCTACCCAGGTAAAACAGTAATATCACCCCTTCTCCCTTATTTTCTACCATATCCCCTCCCCAATTCCAGCATAGCTAGAATTATGTCCTATCAAACAGGTTGTAGCATTATCCTCTTCCTTTTACAAATGAGGAACCGTGTTCAGAGTGGTAATTTACATACCTTGCTCTAGGCCACTCGCTAGTGCTGGAATCAGTCAGATTCCTTCCACAGAAGTAACCCTGCTTTCAATATCCTACATCTTCCTAAGTCCCTTCCCCCAGTCACATCGGCTGCCTCTCCCTGGAGTTCTCATAATAGCTCATGAAAACCTCAGTTTTTAGCTCTCATGTCTCTATTGTTTCTATTCATTTTCTTGTCTCCCAATCAAAATCTGAATTCCTGGCCCTTTCTGTGTGTTCATTGCTTCATCTGACTGTGACATATACATGGCATAAGAAACAGCAGTCTCCAGTGGTCCCCTTTCCCGGAAAACCCTGAGAGATGAAGAGGTAGGGAGCCTCAATGTTTACATTTCCATGACGACCCTGTCTCTCTGGCAACAGCATATTGATCTCAGGATAGAGACCTCCCCTGAGCTGGGCCAGTCAGATCATCTCATGGGAATTGGAAGCCTAAACGAATAGAGGCATCCAGCAGTGACAAGGGAGAGGAGTCCAGGTAATGGCAATGCCCAAAGAGTCGATATACAAATCTAGCTGCTTGAGACGTCCAACGCTGCCTCGCCCTCCTTCGCAAGACTTGGCTGTTGTTCAGTTCTCTTGATTCAGTCTCCTGAATCAGTTAAGGTAAAGGTCAAACTGCTAAAACAAGGGGCCCTAAAATGCAGGGGCTCAAGGAAAGTAGAAGCTTACTCCTTGTACAGTAACCCTGGGACAGTCCAGCTCCATCCAGCCCTGCTTGCCATAGCTCCGCCCCTTTCAGCCCCACATGCCTTCACAAAGCTCCAAGGTTGAAGCCACTCCAGTCAGAGGGAGGAGGGAAAGATGTGCAGGCGTGAACCCACGAAGTCTCAGGGGCCAGGTCTAGAAGTAGCTCATGCATCCTGCTCATGCTTATTGGCCAGAAATTGGTCATCCAGCCTCACGGGCTATAGAGGTGGGACTAGGAAGTGTTGTCTCTGTCTGGGCAGCCACCTCCTGCTTCAACTCTCTTGCTGTGGAAGAAAGGAAGAGCAGCTCGGGTGGACCCCGGCAGTCTCCAGTGTTAGAAGTGTCTACAAGCTCTCTCCTTCCTGCCCTCGAATTAGTCAGAGTCTGTTTCTATTGCTTACAATCATAATACGCTCCGTTGATATAGTAGGTGCCCTATAGTCCCAGTGAGTGAAGGGTTCATTGATTGATCCTGTAGAATATACGCCTGGGGGCAGAGCTGCTGTGGGAGATCAACAAAGACTATTCCTAATCTGTCTGGGGCCAGAAAAGGACCGAGGTTTTAGGTCTCATGCAATCAAAGCGATGAGCTGAGAGTGCTCAGGTGAGAGTTGGTGAGAGTCTGACCTATAAGGAAAGACTGTTCTTAGGGACCCAGATGTCTGCCTCAGGAAGAACAGGACTCAGTGCTAAAGCCTTATCACATCAGCCCAGTCCTGTGTATAAAATGGGCAACATGTGGAACCACGGGAACGTTCAAAGGTCCCATTGCTACACACAGACCCCAAAGAGATGACCAGATGTTGCTAAGTTCTTTGTTTAGGGTCTGTTTCTTCAGAAGAATCCAAACGGCTTCGGGGGGGGGGGGGGAAGGGGGTACAGAGCCTGAGCACCCATGAACATGACCCTCCCCCAGGCCAGCCCCAAGTTCCTCAAAAACAGAAAATCCCCAAATGCCTTTAAAGTAGAGGTTTTCACAATCATTTGATAAGCTAATAAACTACATCTCTTTCCCAAATACAACAGAGCCCTCCCAGGTCCAGAGGGACCCAGAACGCAGCCACCCTAAGTCACCCAGGGACAAATCCGCACTGGACTGCATCCAGTGGTCCACCTGCTTGACTCCAGAGTGCCATCGCTACTGCTCCTTGCCAACTCCCTCTTGGAAGAAGCACAGATGGACTCCTGTCTGTAACGAAAAGGGTACTTTCAGTTCACATATTATGCGCAAGGGAATTTCCTTAAGTCACATACAAGAAAATAAGAAGGAAAAGGTCCATGTAGCGGGGGTTGGGGGGAGGGCTGTACACAGGTGAGGAGACATTGGAAGCTGTTTATATTAATCTTATAGATGTACGTCTTACCTGATCAGCTCTCTGTACTCTGACATACACCATCTCATTTGATTCTCAAAGAAACCTTGCCAGGTAAGTCACGCGTTTGTTTTCATTCCATTCTCTGAACAAGAAAACTGAGGGTTTCTTACAATACATTATATTATTTTCCCATATTTTTCATGTTCCTTTCTGAGTCCTAAGTCCAGTGACCCTAACTTCAGACATAAGAATCATTGTAGTTAACATTTGTAAGCGCTTGTTACACACACGAGGCAGCGTGCCTTCGCATGCACGATCTTATGTCAGTCTCCGAGCATTTAAACAACCCCGTGAGAGGTACCATTGTTACTCCCATTCGACAAATGAGCTAACAGGCTCCAAAATCCTGGGAGGAAAGCTTCCTACAAATCGTGATATAAAATCTGAACTTCACAGCATCATAAGATCTTAAGGCTGTGTGGTTTCAAGGGCTGACCTAATTCTTGCACCTGCCTTGAGCAAGAGACGAGTTGCAGAGAGATCCAAGAGATGATTTCACCACCTCCCTTGGCTCCTCTCACCAGGTCCCTTGTAGATTCCAAATCTTAATTGTAGTAACCTCTTTTTATTTTGGGTTTGGGGGTTGGGTTTTTTGATACAGACACAACTCTTAAAGCATGGAAAATGCCCCCCAAATTAATCTGTAACAAGAGACTCCAGATTGGCCTACACCATCTTCTCCCCAGCTATGTTCAGCAGCCTAGTGACCCTGTGCACTTTATGCATCAGGGAGCACCGTGCATCTCCAATTTAATTTAAAGTAAGACAAAACATGGATGAATAGCTTTCCTCCTGGGCTGCACTCTCCTGGCTACAAGCGATCCTCACTGGTGGGGGCTGTTGTGTTTCAGCGGCGGCAGGATTGCCAAGTTCTGGATGCATTCTCTGAGTTTCAGGCCACCTGTCCAAGGTTTCTCAAAGCTGTGAGTGAATTAACAGCAAACATCAGTGTAACACACACAATTTCACTTAAATAACATCTAAGTCTCAAATCAGACAATCCTTTAGGAGCACCTTTTAAAATCAGCCCACAGCCTCAGTGGATATTAGCCCGAGTTCGGTCATTGTCAAGCACCCAAGCCAGAAAAGCACCTTCTGTCCTGGACAGGGAATAAGATATCTCTCCAGGATAGTAAGACCTGTCTGAGAAGCTGTGTTCTTACTTGGTCCTGGCACTCGCTAGTTTCATATGTCAGTTTTCAATTAGACACTGTCACACACACTCCACTCCACTGTACCCCCACCCCAAACTACTTGGGTTCAGTTTACACTGGTGACTGGGAGCAGGGACTGATCCCTCGGCTTTTTCATCCTGCCTGAGATCCTCCTCCTTCACACGAGCTGTAAAATCTAATTGCTCTTTGTCAGACGTCTGTATTACTTTTCCATATGACTTGTTAATGGTGCTCAGAAGAATTTGAATGGCAAAACCCCTAATTTTAAAAATGCTATTAACAAGGAGGTAACACTGTCAACACTTGCTGGTAATGACACTCCAACTGCCTTTTGCATTTAAGCTTATTTATTTATGACTGACACCGAAACGATCCTGTTTCGGCAGGGAATCAAGGACAGCTCTTTGTGCCAAGCTCATTTTCTGTCCCCTCCAAGGGCCACGATGGGGACAGCAAATGTGTCGTGTGGAGAAGATGGCAACCACAGGGTAATTTGCTTTGAGAAACTTTGCTGGAGATTTTAACGCAGCAGACAGGAATGTTCTGCTCTTGGCAGTGTTTGGAATTTGCCAGTACTTACAGGCGGGTGCTCAAAGTTCATGCAAGATAAATCTGCAAATGTGCTACCCATTCCTTGACAATTAGCTGAGCAAACTGCCTTTAACGATAACAAACACATAGGCGTATGGAGCAATTTTATTATGGTTTTCCTTAAAACCTACAATTAAAAACATTGAAAATTTACTCATAGGGACAGTCCTGGCCTTCAACTTGGTTTCATATGGGGTCTGGGTTTTCTTCCCATTTCATCTACTGATCACCTAGAGAGAGGTAAGCATGCCACGGCACCCCATTTGAGGGATCCAAAAAGTTGGGACAGGACAGAGAAAGATAGAAGGAAGCAATGTGAATTATGACATGTATTTGGTCTCTCGGTAAACTATATGACCTTGCAGGCACTAGGGTACCTTGCAAATTCATGGAAATCTGTAAATGCTTTTTAAAGAAAGTAAACCTTTTTGCATCTGTACTAATTACTTTGAAAATATTAGTGGGTACATTTAGAATCAACACATTGTTTTACCCAAGTAGGTTATCAGTGGACATCTTTTGCTTATACCAAATAGATAACAGAAAGCTGGATGTCAGACGAGAGGCCTGGACCCAGGTCAGAAGTCCTGCATTCAGGTCCTTTCAAGTCCCAGCTCTGCCTTGGATCTGTGCAAACTTGAAGTAACTACTCTCCTTCTCTGGACCTCATTTTCCTGTATAAGATAGCAAGGCCACCTATGGTTTATAAGATCTGTGGTTTCTAGAGATGTTAGGTTTTGGGTACACACTATAGCAGACACTTTTGAGGTTCACCTAGACCTCACTGGCCCTCTGTATGCACACTTCCCTGCAGGATGGCCATACCTGCACTACTGCCATCCCTGGAGTCAACTTATCCCTAGTCCCAAAGAACTGAAGTGCCTGGGAGTCCTCATCTCCCTTCCTCCTTAGCCAATAACTGATTTGGGAGAGTAAGAGACTGGCAACCTTGCCTGAGTCAGGACAAACTCTGAGGAGCAATTCCCGCTCCAGAGCTCCACTGTGGGTCGGCCGGGGCTGGCCCCCTCACTTGGCTTCTTTCCTTCCCCATCTGTCTCCCTCTCCTACTTTCTCCAGAACCATCTTCTTGGTCTGCTTCCGGGGAACCTGACTTTCATGCACATCTAATAGGCATAGCAAAAATAATAACAATACAAGTAAAAAGGCTTTCTGTCCCCAAGATGCTGCCTTACTGAAAGTTACAAAGGTTTGCACCTGAAATAAACAGACACATAGAATTTCAGCACCTGGAGAGTCTGGATCTCCATATCTGATGGATGAGGGGGTGTTCTCGTAAGGGATCTCACTCAGTTTTAAACTCTTTCCATTTCCAAGCAGTCCTGAAGAAGCACCTCCATGCCCTGAGCTAGGTAACCCAACAAATGAGGGTGAGGCGGTGAGAAATGTGCATTGCAGGGCACCTGGGTGGCTCAGTCAGTTAAGCGTCTGACTCTTGGTTTTGGCTCAGGTCATGATCTCATGGTTTGTGGGTTTGAGCCCCTATTGGGATCTGTGCTAACAGTACTGAGCCTGCTTGGGATTCTCTCTCCCTCTCTCTGCCCCTCCACCGCTGTCGCTCAAAATAAATTAATTAAAAAAAAAAGAAACGTGCATTGGAATAAAGTCTAAAGGCTGATGGAGGGCAGGAAGTGGACAAAAAATGTTCAAAGCCAGCATTCAGCATTGGTTGGGTGAACAAACAGATGTCACCAGGAAGCAGGGTGTTATGTCAATTCTTCACCAAATACCCAGGTCCAGAGGACTGTTGAATATCGAGGGGCTTTTCCCCCCTGTATGACATGTTATGCCCTTCTTCTCCCCTCCCCTCTCCCCCTTCTTTCTCCCCTCCTGGACAAGAGTCAAACATCCGGCCACGCCCTGGATCTGAAGAAGAATCCATCCACGAGACTTAGGAGTCCAGGCAGGGCTAGGAGGAAATGCAATGACATATCATCAGGGGTGTTTTCATATTCTCTGCCAGTTACGAGGGAGGAATCCAATGGTAAGAAATGTCCTCCTGGAGAGGAGGGTCTTGAGGTGAGTCTTAAGAAAAGCCAGGTAGAAGCAAGAGGAGAGAGAAGGGCTTTCAGGGAGCAGGGAACCCCAGGAGCTGCCCAGATAGGGAGGCCCTCCGGCCACAGTGTGCGTGGCTGGGAAGACAGGGGGAAGGGAAGCCATCGGTTAGGCCAGGAGAGGCAAGCTTTAGCGGGAACAGCAGGAGGCTTTTTAATCCACAGTAAGGAGTTTGAACTTCATCCTGTGGACAGTGAGCGGGAATAGTAGGGCCTGCCCTCCAAATACCTCCAAGGGTCACTCTGTCCCTGCTTGCCTCAGCCCTCAAATCTTGGGAAATTTCTTTCCCTTCCCAGGACTTCCTATTCTTGCCTCACCAATGGTGCTGAAGGCAGAGACTGCTAATTTAAACAACCATTAAGCTCTGCTGCGGGTCCTGAAGCCACTTAATGAATAGGAGCCTGATAACCTGGTCTTCACAAAAGGAGGAATTAAGAACTCATTTATATCAGTGACAGGGTAGAAAGAAAACAGCAATCTTACTCCAGCCAGATCATGGAGATACCAGTCCCTGCTTTATGGAGTCTTAATTAGATCTCCTTGGTCCTCTTGTTTTTATTTTGTGGTTGCCTTTCTAAAAAATAGAGGAAGAGTACCGATCAGCTCACGCCACTGGAGTGCGTATTTTATGGAAAGAATACAGATGATGAGGCTTTGTGCCCTAAGAACTCACAGGGGTTTAAGGAGTGAGGGAAAGGTAGAATTTGCTATGCCTGAGGCCTGTGAATAATTACTTTTCCTAATGAACTCTCGTTCTAGAAACACCAGAGCTACCTGCAGAGGATGCTCTATGTGCTGCAGAACCTGAACACAGGTGGTTCCCTGGGAGAGAATGGAAGATGGGTTAGAGCAAACGATGGGAAGAAGTTGTAAGCTGTGGTGCTGAGACATTTTCTGGGGGGCTCTCCCACATGCATTGGCTTGTTCTTCTCAGACTGGAAATACAACCCACTGGAAATTTCCCACTCGGGAAAGAGGCACTGAGAAGGAAGCGTAAGGGGGAAGGTAGATGCAATGCAGAAGATAGATGCCAAAGTCAGGCGACTTGGGTCCTGCCCACAGCTCTGCTGTTGTCTAGCTGGGTGAGGCTGGGTGAGTTGTTTTATCTCTCTGGGTTTCTGTTTACTCATCACTGAAACACATTAAGTTAGACCCAGTGACCTCTAGCCCCCCCCGGATTCCAACAGGTTTCCAGTCTGTGTAGAAAGAGCGACACCTCAGAGATCCAGTGAGAGGCAGATAGAGAGGCCTAACATGGAGGAGGAGGGGGACAGAATGACATGCATATCCTCTGAGGGTCTCCATCGGCTCTGGGTGACATCCAAAAAGTCAAAAGATTTTTATCCATAACTCTCAGACTATAGGCCGGCCTGGACCAGAGTTCTCTAAATGAGTCCCTAGAGCCTCACCAAGCACTCTAGAGTTGGTTTCATTCGAGAGAGATTCTAAATAGTAGTCTCAGCTAACTTAGAAAACAAGCTTGGCTGAATTCTCTTCTTCATCCATCCATTCCAGAGATGGACACCTGCATTTTTCCTCTTGAGAATTCCACTGTGTCCTCTGGCACTGCCCTTGACTGGCCCCCTGGTTCTTCTTCTCTGTCTCTCTACATGTAGCTACATCAGCGTCAACTGTAATAAGAGTCCAGCCTGAGCAGAAGACGCAGCCAGCAGTTGGGGCTGGGTGACCAGGCTGGGGTCAGAAATACAGAAGTCATGGTCTACGGGATTCAGCAAATTGAAAAGAAAGTCAGGAGCACAGAGATCAAAATCAAGTTGTCAAGTCAGAGTGATAAGCTTCGGGAAGGGGATAGCAAACTATATAGTCCACGGGTCAATTCTGGTCTGTGCCTATTGTATAAATAAAATTTTATTGAAACACAGCCACACTCGTGTATTTATGCATTGTCTATGTGTGAGGCCTTTGCACTCAAGATGGCTGAACTGAGTAGTTGTAACAGAGTCAGTATGACCCACAAGGTCTGAACTATTTACTCTCTGGCACTTTACAGGAAGAGCTTGACAAAGCCTGGCTTTGACCATGCACTCACATGGCTCCCTTGCTTCTCCATGAAGAGTTGACAGGCCAGGTCTCCCTCCTTGACCTCCAAGCAGTTTCCTTCAGGAAGCACATCTACTCAGAGCAAATCCCATGCACAGCAATGACACTGGGCTCATCTCCCCGGTGGTGGGAGTGGAGAGAAGAACCCCGCCCTCCCCAGCTCCACACAGAGCCAAGGAAGATGGCAGCAGAGGAGAAAGCCACTGAAGCTCTTCCTCCCACTTGGAAGAGCCAACCCCGCTCCAGGTCCACATCACCACCATCTTGCCCACTGTTTCCCAGGCCCCACAAGAAGGACACCCCCACATCCATGAGAGCCCCATTTTTGAGAGCCATACCACACACTCGGCCACAGTTCTGAGCACGCCCACTCCCTAAGACAGGGCTTTCGTCAGCTCTTCATCTTGTTTGATCAACACAGGATTTAAATTGTCGAGGAGATCACACTGATCCACCCACTGGCTGAATCACGCCTGAGCACCCACTCTGTGCCAGGCACTGCGCTGAGCACACGGGAACGAGAAAAGTTACTGTTTGCCGGCCAAACCTGTGGCTCATAGTCCACTGTCCACAGTCTCCTTGGCAAGTGGGAGTGGCAGAAATCCCTATTCCTGATCATACAATTATTTATGATGTGTAATTTATGATGAGCCAATCCCCAAAGACTTAGAAGTAGAGACAAAGGAGAACGAAATTAAATGTGTGTACTTACATTTTTCATATATATTTGAAATGTATTATATGTACACATATTTCAGCAGATACAGAATCAGTTGCAAAAATGATATTGGGACAAGTTGTATCCAATGTGAGTGAGGGCCAACCTCAGGTTTTGGAACATCCTCAGAGATTTCTGGGGAGGAGCCTTCATGAGATACACATTTATGTATGGCTATTCCTAGTGATTGAGAAAACCATCAGCTCGCCAAGCGGGTTACCCTGATGGAGCAGAGTGATGGGGGAATAAGTACCTAAGGAACAAATACATATGTGAGCCAGAGTAGAGCAGAGAAGAGAAGGGGACAAAAAATGGAAAAGTGTTATGCATAGGCGGTGGGAATGTAATCAGGATGGGAAGATTGCTGTCAAGTCTGAGAGATGTGTATTGATCAGGGGATTTTTTTTTGTAGAAACAAGAACCTGATGACAGCCCCCTAATTCTCCCCCAGGTGAGATGTATTTCTCAGAGAGGTGAGATTTAGCCCAGTAAAAATGTGGGGAAGGTTCCCTCTCTTAGGGAGCTCCATCTTCTAACCAGACCCTGATTGACTCTTATGGGATTTGTCTTTGATAAAAAGAGAGAAATCAGTGAACCAAAGTAGTGGCTTTTGCCCTCCAATCTCTGTGAGAATCTTCCAAGGCCGTTTCCCTTCCTGTGCCTTCTGGGAGCATGGACAGAGCAGACACTAAAAGAGTCTCTTTGAAGCTGTGTTTTTATGAGAGGTCAACCAGTCTACACAGCACCAAAAAGAAATATTGGGATTGGGTCTCATGGGGTCATTTATCCCAGGAACAGGTAATTGTAAAGAAATTCCAATAATTTTAATAATGAATTGACATCATGTCTCACTGAATGGCCGACTACTCACCAAAGTTAAATCTGTGGCTTACGTGGATGGGCCTTTTCCTTCTGCAGTGTGGGTCCCACGGGAGGAATATGTAAACCCAGAGTTAAGTGTATGAGTTTCCGTATGGAGAAAGACTTGCTCTCAAAGCAGTCCAGTACCCCTCCAGGGTCCCATGACTGTGCGCCCACTTTTCTTTGTGCCTAAGGCGCCCCTCCCAGCTCCCTCCCTCCCACTTCTGTCCAGGCATTAGTGGTCTCTCAGGCTTCAGTCACAGCCAGATGGCAAGTTCCTCTGTATGGTCATCCTGGCCTCCCCCAGACAGAAGGAGTGGCCCCCTCCTCTGGGGTGACTTTTGCCCAGTCTCCATGAGAGCACCTAGACATGCAAATAATTCCCAGTGCTCTGACATCCCCCCACCAGACACTAAGCGCCTCAAGGACGCAGCTGCGTGATATCCATCTTCACGTCTCCTACTGGGATATTAGGCAATAAGACATAAACGATTTCAAAACCAGCTGGCAAATGCCTTGTGCATCTGCTGAAACAGGGCAGGGGTTCCTGAACAGCAAGATGGCTGAAAGACACCCCTAGGGGTTGAGGTCCCAGACGGAGGGCCCCTTCGGATACACAGCACCCAAAGCTGCTGTCCTGGGAATTGTTATCCCTGGGAATACACTGTCTGTTTCCTCATCCTCTCCTGCCTGAGTAGCCCTTTGCTTCCTTACCCCTCTACACCCACTGCCAGCTCAGCTCATTCATCCCTAACTATTTTGTGAGCAATCCCAACAGCAGTTCTGCCAGATGAAATCACCACCTGTCAGAGCTAGAAGGGTCTTCACACATCACTGGGGCTGGGGGGCTTCCAGCTGTACTGTGGAGAGCCTTTGGGGTAAAACAGAGACACCTCAGGAGCCACCCGTGTGTGCATTTTGAGGAGACATTCTCAATAGGCAACACTCTGGGCCATCCCAACCCCTCCCCTTCTCATTCAGAGCAGTTTTGCTTTTGATTTGATCTGCAATAACCATAAATTTGGCTTCCACATGAAATATCTTTTTAAAAAATGATTCTGCCAGTAAAACAAGATTGAAAACCTTGAGGGCTGGGAAAGAAAGGTGACTTGTCCAAGGTCACAGGACTAGTCAAAGGCAGATCAGGGAGTAAAATTGGGCCTTTTCACTCCCCCTGGCCCCCCACCCCAAGCCCTCCCCATCACCCACCTTCTGGTGGCAGCAGTGAGCCATTTCCAAACCCAGGTGCACTTTGAGAACCTGGTCAAAGCTCATGCTTTTGAAGTTACTAAGCAAATACCCAGAGGCTTCAACAGATGGTGACAGTTGCTGTTTACACGTTTAGGTGGAGCTTTACAAATGAATCCTCTGCATTCTACCATGTGACCATTTAATCACACTGCTGCTTAAGTCCCTACAGAAGTTTTTCATTGTGCACTCCACCCAAAGTCTGAGAGTGAATGAGCCCATGAACTGGGCAGAGCCAGTATGGAATGAATGACACCTGGAAGCCAAAAGCCTGAAGGTCACCATCTCTAAAACTACTGGCTCCCATGGCACCAGGATGGTTCAGTCGGTTGAGCGTCTGACTTCGGCTCAGGTCATAATCTCAAGATTTATGAGTTCAAGCCCTGTGCCAGGCTCTGTGCTGACAACTCAGAGCCTAGAGCCTGTTTCTGATTCTGTGTCTCCCTCTTTTTCTGCCCCTCTCCTGCTTTCTCTCTCTCTCTCTCTCTCTCACTCTCAAAATTAAGAAAACATTTTTTTAAATAAAAAATATAAATAAAGAAATAAAACTACTGTCTTTCATCTACCCTTTGCATCACCTTATAACATGACACAAAGCCCCTGGTACCATGATCTACCAGGGAATCCATCAGAACCATCTGGGCCCAAGCTGGGATCACAACCTGCTCTTTCCAAGAAGAGGTCTAGTGTCTCTGAGGTAGGACATCCATCCATACCAGATGAAGGAATATAGGGAGAGAGGTTTCAGTCTTCTATCCAACAATAATAAGTACTGTGAATATATGAGCCAAGCCCAATAGCATTATGATATAGGATGTATTATTACCCTACTTTTCAGATGAAAAATTGAGTCCTAAAGAAATATTAAGCAATGTGGGCAGGGTCATACAGATGGATTTCAAACCCAGGAGCCCACAAAACAGAGCACAAAGCTGCTAGAGTATAATCATCTATTGAAAAAAGGGACCTTTCTGACAAAAGGTACCAGAGGAGGGTGGCAGGCTATTGGATCAGAGTTTAGACAGAGACTTGCCATAGATACCACACTAGGAACTGTCTCATCCTACAAAACCCCTTTCAACAAAGTTTCTATCATCTCATAAATAATTACTTACCACCTACCCTCTATTGCCAGGCACTATTCTAGAAACTGGCTGTACAGTGATGAACACATCTGCCACAGTCTGACTGATAGCTCATCTTGTGCCTCCCGCCACCAGTACCCCCACAGAACAGACCTCCAGCAATGACTAAAGTCATTCTCAGGCTCTAGTCTCAAACCTCGTCTCATGATTTCACTTTCCTCCCTATATCCATGGCTCCCTGATTCCTCTTGCACTTCCCTTTGGACTCTGTTTCCTGTTTACAGCCTCTCATCACCCACTAGACCTTAGGCTAGGCACCAGCTGACCTGATCAGCTGCTGAGAGCACCCATGCAGCCTGGACCAGCTCAGGCCAGCCTGAAGCCCAGTGAGAAGTGACCCTGGAGATTTGTCACCAATAGGACAGCCATACACTGGAGGGCTAATGAAGATAGGCTGAAAAGGTGGGGTCCTCAGACAGGAGGAGATAGCATGGTTATGTCCAGCTCCTGGTAGAGACTGAGCTGTTAATGTACTGACCAGCTTGTGTTCATTCATTTATCCATCCATCCATCCATCCATCCAACGATTATTTATTGAGTGACGACCATGATCCAGGCACTGTTCCAGGCACTTAAAATACATCCCTGAATAAAATACGTGAAGATCACTGCCTTACAGAGTGTCAGTCTAGTGGAAAGAGAAAAGGAAACGATAAACATAATAAATAAATATATGCATGAATATATAGTCAAACGTGCTATGGAAAAAAATAGAAAACATAGAGCAGGATAATGGGCGTAAGGGTGCCAATAAGGTAGGGCGCTCAGTATTAACCGGGTGATCAGAGAAGACCTCATGAAAAGATGATGATAACTGAGTGAAAATTTGGAGAAGGTGAAGGGGGAGCT